CAACCACTCACCTATGACATCACAGCCTATGACACAGTGTTACGAAAAATCAGAGGCAAAGGGAAAATCTAAGAAAATGTAATAAACAGAAAATTCAATGTTTTGTAGATGAATATGGAATTTTTCAACAATAAGTTTATTTTGTTTTATTTTATACTCCTATGGATCCTTTACAGTGTTGTTTTATACGCAGGTGACCATTACGGCCATTTGCCCTCTTGTTATTCACTGTCTGAACTAGTAATTGATTAAGACTATATTTTTAACAGTTGTGAAATTAAAACTTTCTATAATTCGCACAAGGTTCCATGATCGGCTGTTCTGATCCCACTATTTCTAAATTATTTCCCTTTGAAAAGTAACATATTGTGTTTTAAAAATGAAGAAATATTGAAGACTTCATACTTAAAGCCCTGTTTGGATGAAATTGGACTAGGGCGTAAGAATCTGGAGAATGTTGTCAAACAACAATACCGTCTTTTAACAGAATAGAATAGATCTAGAATACGCGAAGCTTTTGCGAAGATTGGCTATATTAGTGAAAAACTTTGATGTAGAATTCTATTTCTCGAACTATTTTGAACGTTGATACAATGTACAAGATTCCTTCTGAAGAATAAAAAATGTTCTCCTTATTTTTTTCCAGCATAGTTGTTTTTCCTCTGTGTATTAGCGTATCAAAATCAAACTCATTTTTCATGGAATAAATTACATCTAAAAAAAATCCTTTAGTATATTATAAAAAATATTCATTACATTTCTTGCAGTTCCACACGTGGTACAAGAGATACAGCAACAATTGCAATCTCAGGGTAAGGAAAACCACGCTGAGTATTCAGATAGTGAGGAGTTTGTAGTATGTTCAAAAATACACTTTTTTTAATTAGAAAGAAAATCAAAACAATTTATAATGAAATATGTATTAAAAGAACTAAGGGGCATGTTTTTCAATTAGAGTCTTTTTATTTTGTAGCTATTTACAGATGTCCGTATCATGATTGAATATCTATATCGTTGTTTATCAGAGGTAAAGGGATTTATTATCGTTATATTTTACGTAAAAAAAAAACTTTTTTATATTATTGTATTGGAACTGGAAAAATTCTTCCAATATTATCGATATTAATCAGAGAATTTAACATTGTGTCAAAATTTTGAATGTTTATTAAGATCTTCTATCATATTTGCATAAAATTCTCAATTAAGAGAAGGAAACGTCGTATTAGTAAACATTTTCCGGGTAATAACAGTATTATATTATACAGAGGTAATTACATTTTTTTATAGATCCATATGTTGCACAGCAAAATCAACTTCAGTTACAAACTCAAGGTAAAGACTGTCATTATACGTGTATTTAATTATTTATATTCCGTGATCGGAAGGCCGTGAGTTCAAATCTCGGCCGCGAATACCCTAAGTTGATAAAAAATAGGTAGCAACTGTTCCATCGCCAGGCGCTCGGCACTTTGAAGTGAAAGTTGCGGGTTCATCGGATGAGACCTTAAAAACCGAGGCCCCGTGTCACGGCAGGCGTTGGCACGATAAAGATCCCTCACTGCTCAATGGCCCTGAGTGCCGAGTAAAGGTCTCTATATGAGTGAAAAATGGGACTTAAAACTACATACAATCAATCAATTATTTATATTTAATGTATTTGATCACAATAGGATGTTAAGACAGAAAAAAATCAGTGTAATAGTCGATTTTTTCCATTTGTTTTCTATAATTTTCCATTTGTTTTCTACAACTCTCCATTTATTGTATTTTTCTATCTGCAAAATTCAAATGAAAAATTATATGATACAAATGGTAACTAATAGAATACAAATTGTACTTAGTAGAATACAAATGGTAACTAACAGATTGGAAAATAATAGAATGCAAATAAAAATTATACAATACAAATGAAAAATTATAAAATACAAATAAATATGAAAGAATACAAATGGGAAATTATTAGGGATGGCAATTTGTAACCGGTTAACCGATTACTCGGTCGGAACGATGCCAATCGATTAGAAAATCTGTAATCGGTTAATCGGAAGAAATGAAATATTTGTTAAATTGAACACATTTTAAATAAAATTATATATAAAAAAAGAAATCTCTGCACAAAGAATGATCATTTAAGATTTAACGGATCTAATTTGGACGTACATGTAATTATGAATCTCCGGATTGAGACCGTAGCGTAATTGGTCAGTTTATGTACGCTTTTAATTACTGTGAAAAAACCATGTCGTTACCCCGACTGTCCTGTAATTCTTCAATGATAATAATTGAATCATTGAGCACCGTGAATTGGTGTGTTTGTCGTTTTCAGTTTTCAATCCAATTTAATTATTAAACAAACATTGTAAATTAAGGGTCATAGAGTTCACATGTAGTTTTGATTATCATAGTGAAAATGCAAAAAGAACTTATAAATGTGACATCTGCTCTGGAAAATTATCAAAGATTCTTTAGGCTTTTTTCATGGTTTTCTCATTTTTTTTTCTTGTCTATTGAAATTTAAATAAAAAAATATGTACCCGTAGTTTTCTGAATCCAGAATCAAGACTAATGGAATGTTTTAACTTCTATCGTCTTATTTGGGTCTATTTGTGTATATGGACAGAGCTACTTGAAAAACAATTTTCAAGAAAACGTGCATTTTGATACGATTAACCGGTTAATCGGTCGGAACGTCTTGCGGTTAACCGATTAGCAATTCTGTAATCGATTGCCATCCCTAGAAATTATAGAATACAAATTAATAAAATATACAATACAAATAAAAAATAATACAATACAAATGGAAAATTATATAATACAAATAAAAATTATATTATACAAATGGAAAATTTTTCAATACAAATGGAAACTTATACAAAACAATGGGAACTTATGCAATACAAATGGAAAGCATCGAATATCTAAATGTTGAATATGCCATTTAAATCTGTACTTCTTGAGGAAGTTTTCATATTTCATATTCATATATATCATTAGTTTCATATTTCTGGCCCAATGTTTCCTCAGCAAAAAATTAAAAGACACCACCTTATTTAATTTTGTCTTTTCTTGATTTTTGATCATCTCATCAACCTTTGTCAAAAATACTCTTTGTCAAGTTGAAATTGTTTCAGAGATTCTTGGAACAGAAGTGAGAATGTGAAATTTTTTACCACAAAGACAATGACAACGACGATGACAGACAATTAACGATCAGAAAATCTCACGGAGTCTTTCTTCGGGGCTCTGGCCAATGGCCAATATATAAAAAAACCCCACTTTTTCGTGAATTCTTTTATAATGTGACCTCTAATATAATGCTTTCTTTTAAATATTCTTTGATGCAATTTAAAAAAAAAAAAAACTTTTCAAATTTTTTTTCTTTCTTTAAAACCTTTCATCTATGATACGCAAAATGTATTTTCTTCATTCTTAAATTATCGAGTCTCTCAACGATTTTCTGGATATGGCAACAGTTATAATCTTCAGACTCTGATGTGTGAATTTTGCCGTTCACAATATATGGAAAATCGCTGTTCACAATACTGTTCTCAAGTGTTTTGAAGATATCCATTCGATGCAAATCCATACATTCAGAAGGACTTGAAACAAAACAGCTGTTTCAGAACAATCATGATACATGTACATGTAAAAAAAAATAATTTGTCCTCTTCATACACAATGAAATATATAAACTAAAGATATCAAGTGTCTTAAATGAGTAATATATTTAGTTATTATTTATCTTAATTTATTTGAAAAAAAAATGAAAATTTTTTGCATAGTTTAAATAAAGAAATTTCTTGCAAACCTTAATTGTGCACTTTTCTTTTTGTCATACAGTTGGAAAAGAAATACAACTTGTGGAATTGCATTTGTATATTTTGTATGAAAGCTTGTATGAATACTAGAACAATGATCTGAAAATGATATCAGTGATGAATGTTCTCGATAAACTTGATTATTTAATAGTTCATGCATGGAATCGTTATATATAAAAATTGTCGTCCCTCGTACTTACTAATCTTTAAATGTTCACAACATAATATCCGATTCGATTGGACTTGGAAGCCTAATATTTTCTCAGATTGTTAAAATGTGTCCAAGTAGATCAGTCAAAAAATGAAATCTTTATATACGTAAAGTATGATTCCAAAATCATTATCTGCGCTTTTTTGTTACGAATGAAATTTGTCCACAAAGTTGGAGATAATGGAAACATTTAAGTTTCCTAATACAAAAGTTTTGGATGATAAAAATCCATATTCATTTAAAACATTACGTACCAACTACGCATTGAAGAAGCAAAGTTTTTATTATGGTTATGTTTATTATATCAAATTTTGAAAAATCATTAAAACATGTTTAGCATTAGAGATAAGTGGCATGGACCTTCAACTATTTGTGTGAAAATAGGAAAAAATTCTTTGTTTTATAGGATACTCTTAATGAATTGGACATATGTTTTACTGTGTAATCGATCTCAGTTTATCATTCTAAAGGTAAACTAATGAGATTGCAGTCATGGTATAATGAACCCTTCCTTAAACAATTTTTTTAGTTAATTATAATAACTTACAATTTTATATTTATCTGTTATTAATTTTTTTTCTGGATATAATTTTTTTCACTTTGAATTTTATAAAAAGTTACAAGATACAAACATAAATTGCTTTGTTGAATAAAATCTGAATTGAAAGTTAAACTCATTAATTTTGCGAAAATATTGAATATTGCTTATATTTCAGTCAATCATGAAGTTTAATTATTTCGATATCTATGTGAAAATACCTTTGGAAGTTCTTAAAATCTTGCAGTGTTTATATTTTCCAATTTCCTATGCATCTGTATAATTAATTCAAAATTTAAGAAGATTGATCGCATCAAAATTTGGTCATATCTAAATATAGAACAATTGTGGACCCAAATGCTCCTAGCATTCTTCTAACATTCCATATGATAATAGGCCAACAAAATGTGTATAAAAGAGAATTGAGTCCAAGTTTTTTGCAAAAACTTTGGACTCAATATTTCTATTCGTGATGTTTATCCATTTATTGGTTATTTGTTTTTTGTTTGAGTCGGTGTCATTTGCACAAAATGTTCGATTTTTTAGTCCTGTGAATAGAAATATACTTGTTCCAGTCGGAGGTAAGAAATGTTTTATCAGTTTAAATATTTGAGATTTATATTAATCAAGACCTATTAAATAAAATAAATTGAAGCAAATTTCCATGTGAGAAAGAAAAAATTACAAAAAAAGGAATTTTTATTGTTAGTTGAAATGGTAATTTAATTTTAGCACTTTGCTAGATTACAAATATATTACAAATATATTTGATGAAAAAGATGAAGATAACAAACAGTGATGGATTTCAAAAAATCTACAAACAATACAAATCTGTCAACAGGTGGGACTAGTAGAAAACATGTTGACTGTTTACATCCGCCGTGTGCCCTATGTAGGCGGATGTAGACGGGTAGACGGAGCATTCTGCAGTCATTTTTAATATAAAAACAATTGCCCAATAATTGGTATAAACCACTTCAGTCAAAATATGACCCAATGATTGGTTTTATTTGCTAACAAGAACCATAGAATTTACGAAATGCTGCCATTTAACGAGGTTGTTGAAATTCCTGTAACATTAACTTATCTTTCAGTAGCTTGCTTCGGTTTAAAAATTGATAGTGCTCAGAAGCTCCTAATTATCGAATAAGTACATTAGGGAGATGTAAATACCATATGCAGGTAATAGCGGAATATTACTACATAAATACGAAAAGTTGAGGATGGAAAAGTTAAAGTCATCTCGTTTGTTATACAATTTATTTGTTAGTTCCTTGTCGTCTGTAGTCAGTAAAACAGCCTAATATGAAAATATAATGCTTGAAAGTAAATACTCGTGACACATTTGAAATTTTTGTAATTCATTGATTAGAAAGAAAAAAAGTTAAAATATCAAAAAATTAACCTTGTTTGTTCAAATGTTGATTAAAAAAATTTAATGAATAGCGCGTGCATTTTACACCAAAACAACTGTGAATAAAATCCTTACTAGAAAAAAAAAGATATATCAATCAATTAGCTTTCCCATTTTGAATTAACAGTATAAATTAAATGTATTGGGTTTATGAATCTTTTGAAAGAGTGTGCAATGACAATGTATGATGTTTAAGACTAACATCACATGTTATTTGTTTAACGTACCCGTAGCTTTGAATTCAGGTTCGACGTAACTACGTTTTTTTCGGATATTTTTTTTTATGTTTCGAAAGCAATTTACTCAAAATATGAGGATAATGAGTGATTTCGAGCAAAAAAATCAAAAACCAAAACCTAACCAAAAAAAAAAAAAAAAAAAAAAAAAAAAAAAAAAAAAAAAAAATTAAACAAATAAATCAACAAAAAAATCAATCACAATAATTTATTGATTTATGACCATTTATATGTTTTGATTTAAACAACACCTCAATGATACCTCAAAATTAATATCCCGCGTGTTTACGGGAAACAAAATGCACTGTACGTAGTATTTGATAAATTATGTGCATGTGGCATAGTTTAACAATCCTGGTCCCCCCTCCCCTTAAGGCGCAATGGTATGAACTTTTGCTCTAGAGTCGAGGCGTAAGGAGTTGACCTTTACGCCGTTGGTTAGACTCCACTTTGCAACGTGGAGACCGGTTCTTCAGATGAGACCGTATAAGCTGAGGTCCCGTGTCGCAATAGGTGCTGGCACGAAAAGGGTCCTTCACTGTTCAAAGGCCGTAAATGTAGAGTACAGGTCTTAATTTACAGTCCTCCATTGCCAATTCGTGGCGTCTTAATATGAGTGAAAAATTCTCCAACGGACGTTAAACAAGCAAACAATCAACCAACCAACCAAACAACAATCTGACACACAAAAAATTATGTTTACTATTCTCTTATTTGTGATCATTTATTTCAGGTGTCGTAAGTCTTCTTCCTAACAATGGATATGGAAATTGGAACAGTGCACCTGTAATGTATGAAAACAACCAGAATTTGATCTGTGCTTTCTGTCAGTCTCTCTTTGGGAAGTACTCTCCCACATGTGCTAATTACTGCATCGTTGGAAATCAATTTTTACGAACTCTGCCTCCTCAGCAAATAACACCTGTTATAGGCCTTAGACAAGTATTAGTACCTGTTCAAACGGTGAAAGTTTATCCTTATCGATGGAATCGTCTGTATTGAAATATTTTCATATTTGCTTTATGTTTAATATTTGTTGGATTTATGATTAAATACGATATACCAGCAATCAGAATTGAAAACTTTTTCAGCAAATTTGACAGATGTATTATCGTTAATCTGATTTCCTCGACGTTGGGGGAGAAAGAAATAAAAAACTACAACTAAATAAATTTAAAATGTTAAAAATTTAAGCTAAGCCATATATATATTTGTATCTTGCGTATATACACGTAGCTCTGGTCTTGAGTTTGTAAGAAATGATATCCTTATAAAATAGAATAAAGTCTGAATTCGTAAATCTAAAAAATGAAAGCAAATTTTCAACTTCAACAGATTTTCAAAGTCACTTTAAGCGTTGAAATTCTTAGCTAGAGGTCTTATGGGACAGATGCACTTTCTGCATATCATATTTTAAATGAATATTACATGAATATGCATGTTGTAAATTGATGTTTTGTCATTAAAGTACAATTTTCAAAGTGCTTCTTTCACAAACATAAGGCGCATAGAATATTGAATAGTTTTTGGCAGCCGTGTGTGTATATATGTAATACAGTATTTATTTAAAACCCTTTGTAATAAAATACATGTACATAAATATAGAACAAGAAGTTTTGAAATCCATTTAAAAATGTCGACAACAAGGAATATATCAGTGTAATTACACTTTTACTTTGGCTATGTTTAATCAGTTATTATCGTTAGGATGATTTCTTGTCGAAAAATGGTATTTTACTTAAAACAATATTGGAGACGTACATGTAAGTAAACTTCAAGGGCGGGGTTTTAAGCACACCATAAAACTATACCTCATGAGGTCAACACCATTTGTCAATTGATTGACAGGGTTGGTAAAGCAAGACGTTACCTAGGCCGTGGTTTTATGTTGTGATTCCAATTAACATTGTGGCTTTTTTTTATCCCTTTGATTGACCTGCAAAGGAAAAAATAAATAAACCATGCACCCCCTCCCCAAATAAAAAAGAACAACACTAGAAATATCATTAACCATTAAAAACAGTTCACTTATGCTGTAAAATTGCACACAAACTAAACGTACAAGATAAAGAACGAAAAGGCGACGTCTGAATCCTTTTAAAGTTTTTTGAAAGCGAATCTGAAAAAGAGATAAAGGTAAGCATATTGTTAATGCTAAAACAGTAGCAGTTAAAGTTTTAACACCCCATTTACGTTCCCTATATCTCTTTAGTGATAGATATAAACAGAAGTTATATGTCATCAACATATCTTTACACACCACCAGGATTAATGATTATTCATTTACATATAGATGCGATATTTTTTGTTTTTTCATTTGTAATTTGAAAAGCCATTTGGATTAAAGACACAAATAAACTGAAATTAAGATTTTATACTAATCAAGTCTTCTAACCCACCACTTAATTTTTTTTCCAATAGCTTCTGTTATATTCGGCAGTACCATACAGAATTTTTAATTGGTTTCTATCATTTATATTCAATTAAATACCACAAATAACATTGGAATCGCTGACAAATCTATTGACCCGTGACGATTTTATCGTGAAAGGAAAATCTGCTTGTGGATTGTAGAAAGAAAATTCTGGTTTTTTGTTTGTTTGTTTCTTTTTTCTTTCTTCTTTTTTTTTCTCTATTTGTTTTTCGGTTTTTTTTTTGGGGGGGGGGGGGGTTGTTTCTTTGAACAATTCTTTTACCGAATAACATTAAAATTTTCGAATAAAATGCAGTACATTATCACAGAGGAGCACAGAAGAGCAATTGGTACATGATACAAGGTGGTTGCAGCATAAAGGGGGTCATTTTTTTTTTTTTGCAATCTACTTTTATCAATATTTTAATTACTTCAAATATAATATTTTTAATTATATGATTGGTTTCAGTTTTTTATCAAAATTATTTTTGCGTTAATAAAAAAAACCTAGGTCGCTACAGAATTGAATCTTCACAATAAAAGTGCAAATGTGTTGTTCCGGAAGTTTCGAGTGACTGGAAGTGATGCTGACTTTAATCGTCAATTGTCAAGACGTCGGGTAATTTCTGCTCAAGATCGTTACATGAGCATTTCGCATTAAAAGAATCTGGATTTTCTGGACAGCTGGTCATATGCAGAATAAGGTTGTTTCATTAACTTCATCAGTAATTCAACTAATATTAATTAATCATGTTAATAATTAAAAAAAAATCAAAGTAATAAAATAAAAATTACATATAAGCAGTTTTATAACAATTTTTATCTGTGAATGCCCGTAATATTGCAGAATGTAAGACTACACTGGTACATGTTTGTGTCCATTAGCCTGGCTTGTTAAAAGTTTTGATTAGTATACATTTTAACAAGTCAATAACATAACATCATGGGTCTGACGGATCTGTTTCATATTTGGATATTTTACTAGAAAAAGACGTTAATGGAAACCTAATAACAAAACTTTATGATCAACATGATGACTTCAACTTTTCTATCGTCGTCTTCCCTTACTTGTGTAGCAATATAACTTTATCACCTGCATATTGGGTTTACAGTGTGTATCTCCCAGTTAATTTGAAACGCAAAAGCATGTTTCACGTATGAATACTTTCTGAAACGAGGCAAGCTATTGACAAACAAGTTGATGAAACAAGGATATCAACAGTCGTTTAAATCGTTGAAGTCATCATTTCGTAGAGTTGTATGGTCGATACTATGACCTTGTCAGCAAAAACAATCTATCGTTATGTCATATGCTGACTGACGTTTTTCATACTAATTGTTAAGTCATTATTTACACACTGAATTGTCGACGGATTTTTCCGTTATTTCCTGATCATGACAATAAGCACACGGCGTGTGTGACTGGTTGAAAAGAGATGCTTACTCCTTAATGGCACCTGATATCACCTCTGATGTATTTTAGAGGTCCGTGTTTGCTATGCTCCCGATTTGTATTGTTTCAATGGACTTCAGAGCTTGATTACTTTCGTTATTTCATGCGTAAGAATACTGCCTACGAAATTCAAAAGTTTGATTTTTTATTTACAATTTATCGTTTGGATTTGAAAAAAAGAATAACCAAGGTATCCCCAGAGAAAACTACGGAAGATGTGATTAAGGCCAAAAAGGTGTAAAGGAAAGCGGGATGGTATAGGGTGTGTTAAAATAAATCATCTCTATATCAGGGATGCAAAATTTCAGCATTTTATAACAACTGTGTAGCGAAACAAGAGCCGGTTTGCTTTCCTTAAAAACTAGGACAACCTTCATAGAAGAAATATATTTCTGCCCACTGTATACCTTTCTGTGATTGTCATTTGTTAATTGAAATATAACGAAATAAACCAAACTACCAGGAATTTACATAAACCATGTATAATTCTTACAGAAAAAATCGTACTCAAATGGTTGTATTACTGATGAATAAATAAAAAGTATTCCCTTTTCGAAAAGTTACTATGACTAATTTTTAAGTATTAAAAATACTAAATTAAAAGCTGAATGTTTGGTATCACCATTGGAATAAGTAATATTATGAATTGAATATAGGTGATATAACTTGATATAATTTATGTAAACGGTAATGTTAAAATAAAATAAATATCAAAACCATTATATAAGACGGGAGCTGCTCTAACAAAAAATATATAATAAGCTATATTGTTATCTCAAGTTCACTATTGTATCATAGTTCTTGCTATAAACAGTTTCATTAAAAAAAACAACAACTATGTACTATATAAAAAATTCATACAAAAACGAAAGTTAATTATAGTTTACTATAGAATCAAAGTTTTACAAAATGGTAAATCTTAGCATCAAAAGTTTTACAGAAGTACTAAAATGAAAGTTTTTACTATGTTTATTGAAGTATTTGAACTATGAACTTAAAATTATTATATATTTATCCAAGTCGTACATGCACCTTTTTTTTTTATATATCTAAAGGAAATATTACATGATATAAAGGCACTTAATCTAAAAGTAAAGTTTCAGAATATTTTTTTATAGTAAATCAACGTATCACAATAAATATAAACTCTCTGATAGTATCTCAACGCACATGTATCGCATGTATCAAAGTAAAGTATCAAGGAAATAAACTTAAATTTGTATTGCTACGGTATTGTCGCAAGGCCTTGGAGCATACCATAAATAAATAATTTGTATACGTGTATATAAGATTTACTTGTTTTTTATATTTAAAACATAGATTTTTTTGTCAAAATGTCAATTACAGGTATGTGTCATGAAAAAAAAAATCGAAATTTCAAATGACAGAAAATTGCCATCATTAATTTTACAATGGATTAGAAAAAAATTCAAAGTGCCGAATGATTTTGTCCTTATTGTATGACAAAATTCATTCTCAATTATTCATTCATATGTAACATTATGCAAGCTAACTAGAATGCGTATACAGCTTTGTAGGCTTCTTAGATACTTCAAGCAAATTAATGGGACAGTAAAATTGCAATATTCCCAACTGAATAATGCAAAATAATACTGATAGATATATAAAACTAACACAAACAGGAGTCATGCAGCAGATTTCTTGATAAATCTGTTCAATTGTTTCTCTTCTTAAAATTTTTCTAAAGGCCTCAATATCTACTTATTTTAGTGTACATTATATCAGGGACCTATATACTATTAGTATATAGGTCCCTGTTAGTATAAAGGTCCCTGATTATATGTTGGAATTTTTATCAGACCACTATTGAACCTGAAACTGGTATTCTTACATTTGTTTTCTTGCTCAAGTATTCGTTTTATCTGTTCACAATAAAAGTTTTAACTGTTCATCATGATACATGTATATACTACATGTAATTTATTATACGGGATTTTTTCTTGTTAGCGAAGGAAAATCCAGTTACGTATTGAATTTCCAAACAGTAGATATATATTATGCAGATAGTTGATTAACTGATACATGTACCAAGTAAGTTCGAATGAAGATAAATATTTGTGGGAATCTCTGTTTAATTGAGTAAGATCTTATTTTCAAAATGCATGTTTTAAAGCATATTTGGGGTAAAAAACTGTTTTACATTTCGATATGCTACACCAAGTTTTGTATATCACACTTCATGGTTGTGGTGAAATGCATATTTATATTCATTAATCAACAGAAAAATCATGGAAGCGTTAAGCGTATTTAAAGTGTTTGTGGTCTTAGTACACCTAAGCGTAGCAGTGACCACAAGCTTGAGAGGTGGACTCTTTGGTCTAAGACAAGGTAGGTATTCTTAAAATTTTAAATCTTTAATTTCATTTGTTTGAATGAGATTGGTAGAAAAAATTATTTATTCTAAAAATCAGTTCAAGAGTAGGTCATCACTTGCAATCCTCTTTGAAGGAATAACACATCTTATTTTTTTTTTTAGTATGGAACTTCTTCATAAATGAGGAATAAAAAACCAGTTATGAATTAATCCTCCTATTCATTTAAGGCATTTCCCAAAAAGCTTCCCGACTTAAATTAAAACGCTTACTTGATAAACTATACGTAGATTGAGAGTTCAGGGGATTAAATTGATTAAAATTTAATATGAAAACTAAGTTCATTGGTTAGACGAAAAAATACGTATGCAATGTAAAGGTAGGTACAATTTAAAAGAAAAAATGTATATCATCGATACCTTTCATCTATAAGTTTAAAAAAAAAAAATGAAACAAGTCTGTAATGTTAAATCTTCAGTAGATTTTTATCTAGAAGCATTTGATAACCGGTAATTTGTTGAACATGAAACATTATATATAGTTTTGCATTTGATTTTAGGTCCTCCTCCTTCCGTGCGTCCACCAGGAGACCCTACGGGATCATTAAAAAATCAGATGATTTTGTGTGGACTATGCAGAATTAAGACTGAAGAAAATTTGACCGAGTGTGACCGTTTGTGCCTGTCTTCTGTCAAAGGACACGATTGGCCAGGAAGTTCTTCACAGAAATTAATGCCATCTGCACCATCAAACAAAGCTCAACCGTCATGGAACAATTTTCCTCAATTACCGACACAAACGAAACTTAAAAATGACACAAACATATTTAAATCTTTTAGCTTATTATCGAGCGCTACTTCTCGAACTCCAATCGCTTTGCAAAACAAAAACGGTACAGATGTTTCTTAAACCCATTTACTTTTTTTTTTTAAAAAAAATGACAACTTTTCCAAGATCAAGTAAAACTTGACTTCATGTGATCTATTGAAATCAACTTTTGAATGCATGTCGGTTTGGCAACAACTGCAGCTCTATTTTAGGATATAAATAAGGCACAGAATTCTAGAACTAATGTCAAGGAAGTAGTGATTAAGGACAAGTTGTGCCAAGGAATCTAAAAGTTCACAATAATAAAGGGGAAAAAATACTTTTTTTTACAAGAAAGAACCGTACTAGTCAACTATTTCTCAAAATTATGGCTTATTTTAGTATTTTTGCTTACTTCTACATGTATTGACGTTAAGTAAACTTATCTGTGAAGATAATTTTATTTAAGGACAGATATCCTTAGATGTATTTGTTTATAATTCAAAAGTGATGTTATCCGGCTTTTTTCGTTTTGTATAGAAAAATACTGAAAATAATCAGATATTTACTGGTACACAAAATAAAGATAATAAAATGCGTTTTGTGAATTATTTTTTTTTTGGAAATATATATCAAATTAAGATATGTAATTAAATGTATAAATCATTTGTTCTCTGTTTCTTTCCCTCTCGATACCATATTAATAGGTGTATAAAATTATACCTCTTTCATCCTACTTTTTTTAACATAAGGCTGAGTATATACGTTCTTTAAATATGGGTTGATAAATGAATAAATCAATAAATGGTCTCTGTAGTTTTTAACATGTAATTACCTTGATACAACATATATATATATATATATATATATATATATATATATATATATATATATATATATATATATATATATATATATATATATATATATATAGAAAGCACTACCAAAATCAACAACACTGTATATCCTAAGTGTCGGATCTACTAAATAGATACAAGGTCAAGGATGGAAATTTATATAAAGCACTAAAAATGACCAACGACACGAACAATAGAAATTGTCAAATTTTAGGGACGCCCTGTCCCTTCCTCAGGACAAAGAAAAAAGTCATAAAAACAAAGGAAATAGAAAAACAAAAAACGGCTAGCACTTCTACTAAACTACCAAACACTATTTATTTACAATGTTACATGTTGAATTTTATAATCAGTTGTAAAGAAATAAATCCGGACCGCTATGAAACTGTGAAATGCGTCCGGTCTCTCGAGTGTACTCTGGTGAAGTGCGATTTACATAATTGAACGAATTAATTATCGCTAATTAACTACGGTCAAGCAGTAAATCGTACACTGTCTTATTCTCTCAAAATAGCTTAACTTAACATAATAAAAAGAAACCAAAGAAAGATAATTTAGATGTATTATAAATGTAATTTGGAAATGTTTTAGGACTGTTTATCGGATAAAAGAAATAATAAGCAAAAATGTAAGCAAAAAATCTATGCGTGGGTTGTTCCAGAATTGATAATGCTAATTAACGGTGAAGTTAACACTATATAGAGAGAATAAACTTGTTTGTTACAATCAGGAATTGGGTCTAGTTAACGTTCATCCTGGTGAAATCATTTAGTTTGTTGATACCATTAGGGCGGAATGACTTCAGTCTGTGCATCCAGAACTTTTCCTTGCTTTTTCTCTGAGCATCGGTCCAATTCGGATAATAGTCAATAACCACTACAGTCATGTCCTCCCATTTGTGACCTTCAAGGTTAAAATGTTCCCCAACGGGTTCATTGAGTTTTTTGGTCTTTATGGTCGAACAGTGATTATTGATTCTCCTGCGGAAATCTCCCGATTCCCCAACGTACTGTTTGGAACAAACTTTACAACTGATGAGATATATGCAGTTTTCTGTTTGACAAGACAAATTCCCTAGAATTTTGTAGCTGCGGCCTGTAACGGGGCTTTTAAAGCTGTCTGTGTCAGAGCTGTGCTTACAGAGAAGACATCTTCTGTCAGAGCAAGCTCTAAAGCCTCCGTTAGGTAATGGATTGTCCAATCTGGTTCTAACTACCATGTCCTTTCAGTTCCTCGGGCGCTTGTAGGCAGCCAATGGAGGTTCCTTAAAGACCTCTGCCATTCTTTTGTTAGAGTGGAGAATTGGCAGGTTCTTTTTAAGAATACCGCTGAGGTTCTTAAGGACGGGATGATATGTGGTTACCAGAGGGACCCTGCTGCAATTTTCTTTCTCCTTGTAGAGTTAGAGGTTTTGTCTGTCGTGTCCTGCCATCTCATCAATAGCAGTTTGTACGTTGTGGGCTTTGTAGCCTCTATTGCATAAATCGGACTTTAGGAGACTGCTCTGTTCCTGATATAAGGCAGGGGATGAACAGATGCGACGAGTTCTGGTAGCCAGACCCTTAGGCACACCCTTGAATGTGTGTTGGGGATGACAGCTAGTCGGCATGAGATATAGGTGAGAATCGGTGGGTTTCGTGTGGAGACTAAACTCGATTTCGCCATCAATCAAGGTAGATGTAGTATCTAAGAATATGTTTTTGGAATTAGATACGTCTACAGTAAATTTGATAGTCTGATGGAAGGTGTTGGCAAACGAAATGAATGCTTCGAGGCTCTCGCGGCATTCTACCCACTTCATCTCTATATCGTCCATGAAACGCAACCAACTAAGGGGCCTATATGGTGCTTGAAGTAACAAGTTGCATTCAAGTCTGCCCATGAAAATATTGGCATAAGATGGAACCATTCTCGTACCCATAGCAGTGCCATTAACCTGCAGGTAATGTTCTCCATTAAACATGAAATTGTTACATTTGAGAACATGTTCAAGGAGCTTGGTAAGGGACTCAGTGGAAGGAGTTTGTATTGATCTACTGTCCCAGACTTCTCTACAGGCCTCGATACCTTCATCGTGCGGAATGTTGGTGTACAAAGATGTAACGTCCATAGTCACGAGAAGAGTATGATCTGAAAGATCCAGTCGAGGGCGTCTTGTTGATATAGTCTGTGGTGTCCTTGAGATAGGATGGCAGATTTTCTACATGTGGACGGAGATGCAAATCAATGCATTCAGAAATTTTCTCCGTGGGATGTCTGATTGCACTAACTATAGGGTGACCTGACATGCCTTCTTTATGTATCTTAGGAAGCAGGTAAAATTGTCCTGGTCTACAGTCAATAGGATTGAGTGTCTCATAGACGTTTATACGTCGGACGGACCCTTACAAACTCCTGACATCTGTCCCGTGCTCAATAAATCTAGTGTTCCTCTCTCCGAGTCGGAGACCTCACTTCTTTCTAAGGGGCTGAATTTCTGTCCCACGCCACATGAGGTCGACGGAAAACAAGTCAGAGAGGATACCCGAGCATTTTTTCGGAGACTTCGACTGAAGGAGCACTTCTCTAGAAAAAACTCCGATGATGATTCATACGACTCTTCCCAGCCACAATTGTACGACCTAGAGAAACACAAACTCTATCGGCCCAAAAGCAACTTGGAACCTGCACCAGGCAAATGCGGAGCCCTTGAGTCGTATATTGACGCCGTTGTGTCAGACATTGAGAAACTCCTTTCCATGCCAGACAAGGCCCCCGACAATTTAAGTAAGGAAGAGAGATCCGCCTTACAATCATTAAAGAATCGGGATGACATCGTGATCAAGAAAGCAGACAAAGGTTCTACAGTAGTAGTACTTGACATAAAGGCGTACATGGCGGAGGCCCATAGACAACTCTCAGACGAACGTTTCTATAAGAAACTTGACTCTGACTTTACTAAAGAATTCTCCACCGCTATCACCAAAACTCTCCATGAAATGTTTGAAAATAACGGGATTGGTATAAACGTCTATGAAACACTCAATCCTATTGACTGTAGACCAGGACAATTTTACCTGCTTCATAAAGAAGGCATGCCAGGTCGCCCTATAGTTAGTGCAATCAGACATCCCACGGAGAAAATTTCTGAATACATTGATTTGCATCTCCGTCCACATGTAGAAAATCTGCCATCCTATCTCAAGGACACCACAGACTATATCAACAAGACGCCCTCGACTAGTCTTCCAGATCATACTCTTCTCGTGACTATGGACGTTACATCTTTGTACACCAACATTCCGCACGATGAGGGTATCGAGGCCTGTAGAGAAGTCTGGGACAGTAGATCAATACAAACTCCTTCCACTGAGTCCCTTACCAAGCTCCTTGAACATGTTCTCAAATGTAACAATTTCATGTTTAATGGAGAACATTACCTGCAGGTTAATGGCACTGCTATGGGTACGAGAATGGCCCCATCGTATGCCAATATTTTCATGGGCAGACTTGAATGCAACTTGTTACTTCAAGCACCATATAGGCTCCTTAGTTGGTTGCGTTTCATGGACGATATAGAGATGAAGTGGGTGGAATGCCGCGAGAGCCTCGAAGCATTCATTTCGTTTGCCAACACCTTCCATCAGACTATCAAATTTCTGTAGTCGGATCTAATTCCAAAAACATATTCTTAGATACTACATCTACCTTGATTGATGGCGAAATCGAGTTTAGTCTCCACACGAAACCCACCGATTCTCACCTATATCTCATGCCGACTAGCTGTCATCCCCAACACACATTCAAGGGTGTGCCTAAGGGTCTGGCTACCAGAACTCGTCGCATCTGTTCATCCCCTGCCTTATACCAGGAACAGAGCAGTCTCCTAAAGTCCCATTTATGCAATAGAGGCTACAAAGCCCACAACGTACAAACTGCTATTGATGAGATGGCAGGACACGACAGACAAAACCTCTAACTCTACAAGGAGAAAGAAAATTGCAGCAGGGTCCCTCTGGTAACCACATATCATCCCGTCCTTAAGAACCTCAGCGGTATTCTTAAAAAGAACCTGCCAATTCTCCACTCTAACAAAAGAATGGCAGAGGTCTTTAAGGAACCTCCATTGGCTGCCTACAAGCGCCCGAGGAACTGAAAGGACATGGTAGTTAGAACCAGATTGGACAATCCATTACCTAACGGAGGCTTTAGAGCTTGCTCTGACAGAAGATGTCTTCTCTGTAAGCACAGCTCTGACACAGACAGCTTTAAAAGCCCCGTTACAGGCCGCAGCTACAAAATTCTAGGGAATTTGTCTTGTCAAACAGAAAACTGCATATATCTCATCAGTTGTAAAGTTTGTTCCAAACAGTACGTTGGGGAATCGGGAGATATCCGCAGGAGAATCAATAATCACTGTTCGACCATAAAGACCAAAAAACTCAATGAACCCGTTGGGGAACATTTTAACCTTGAAGGTCACAAATGGGAGGACATGACTGTAGTGGTTATTGACTATTATCCGAATTGGACCGATGCTCAGAGAAAAAGCAAGGAAAAGTTCTGGATGCACAGACTGAAGTCATTCCGCCCTAATGGTATCAACAAACTAAATGACTTTACCAGGATGAACGTTAACTAGACCCAATTCCTGATTGTAACAAATAAGTTTATTCTCTCTATATAGTGTTAACTTCACCGTTAATTCGCATTATCAATTTTGGAACAACCCACGCATAGATTTTTTGCTTACATTTTTGCTTATTATTTCTTTTATCCGATAAACAGTCCTAAAACATTTCCAAATTACATTTATAATACATCTAAATTATTTTTCTTTGGTTTCTTTTTATTATGTTAAGTTAAGCTATTTTGAGAGAATAAGACAGTGTACGATTTACTGCTTGACCGTAGTTAATTAGCGATAATTAATTCGTTCAATTATGTAAATCGCACTTCACCAGAGTACACTCGAGAGACCGGACGCATTTCATAGTGGTCCGGATTTATTTCTTTACAAATGATTATAAAATTCAAATTCAACATGTATCATTGTAAATAAATAGTGTTTGGTAGTAGTGCTAGCCGTTTTTTGTTTTTCTATTTCCTTTGTTTTTATGACTTCTTAACTTTTTTCTTTGTCCTGAAGAAGGGACAGGGCATCCCGAAAATTTGACAATTTCTATTGTTCGTGTCGTTGGTCATTTTAAGTGCTTTATATATATATATATATATATAAAAGACACATGGGGGTAGACTGTGACATTACACATCTAAAGGTACACGTATATAATATATACGATTCAAGGGAATCCAGAGGTTCGATGTGTGAGGATTTCATTGTAGCAAAAAATGTCCCAAAGACACTAATTTAATTATTATATACGAGAAAAACTTTATAAGAGGTTCCGTTTTTTAAAAGAACTTACGACTAAGACTAAAATTTGATCCTGTATGTTGCTTCTTATTTTACATTTATTTGAAAATGGTTTTAATATTTCTAAAACGAATTTAATATGATATTTTTATGCCACTTATTTCAAACAGAATAATTAATTTTTGCAAAATTTTACAACTATTTGCATGATTTAAAATAAATGATTTCACTCATGATTGGAAGCCACCACTTTCCTAGGAATAACTGCTTAATTAATATTAGATATAACCAAAAAACCCTCAGAGCATCAAATTTATTTCAAACATTAAAAAATTCAATATCAACACTACTACAGAAGAAAGCCAACGCCTTCACCTGTGCCATTACAAGATTTGTATACAGATCTGAAACCGCTTATCTCACATGAATTCATACATATGTCAAAACTAAGTGTCTTTATTCAATGAAATTGTTATTCTCATTTAAATGTTAATTTAGACATTTTGATATTGAACGCTAAGTCTTGTGTTTACATATTACACGTCATGATTGTAGTATATATGCAGATTTGTGTTCACTATTTGACAGAAACATCATGAAGGTGCTAGACGTATTAAGTGTGTGTGTGGTTTTAGTACACCTCAGCTTAAGAGAGACAACCGGTGTCAATGGTGGAGCAATAGGTTCTCCTCGAGGATTCAACATGATGTCGCGTAAGTATCATAATCGAAATGTTTACAAGTATCATAATCTCAGTGTGTAAGTATCATAATCCAAATGTATAAGTATCATAATCTCAATTGTAAGTAGCATAGTCTAAATGTGTAAGTATCATAATCTAAATGTATAAGTATCATAATCTAAATGTGTAAATATCATAATCTCAGTGTGTAAGTATCATAATCTAAATGTATAAGTATCATAATCTAAATGTGTAACTATCATAATCTCAGTGTGTAAGTATCATAATCTCAATTTGTAAATATCGCAATCTGAATAAAGATGAAGCAATCCTTTCTATCATTTGTAAATACAATCTATCATTTGTCTGACAAATTTGACACCATTTGTTAGGTCATTTCTTTTATAATAAATTTGACTACTAAGTATTCCGTATACCTGATCAGTACTTACATGTACATGTAGGGCTCACAGCGGGTGTGTCCGGTCGACAGGGAATGCTTACTCCTCCTAGGCACCTGATCCCACCACTGGGTTTTCCAGGGGTCCGTATTTCTGCCCTGTTCGTTTTGTTTACTGGATTTATGAGATTGATCTTCACATTTTACATAATTGTTAGTATACAAGTAGTAGGAAAAATCAATTTGAAATTTAAAGAACATTACGTCAAGAGAATTTTTTTACTATAAAGAAACTACAAATAATGTTTTAATACAAAAGTATTTAGTTTAGAAGTAAGGAATTGTCTGTGAAGATAATTAATTGTCCCATTCAGTTGACATATTATCCAGCAAATCAGAATTGAAATGCTAATTAGATTGAAGGTTTGAGGGATTTTTTTTCTAAGTGTTTTTACATAAAAGTGTTATTTTGGTATGTAATGCTTACTTCATTTTTTTTTTTTTTTTTTGAGAATCATAACTTCCACACCGGCCTAATGAATTCCGATTTAAATGCAAGGATAAATTAACAAGCAATAACAATTTACATGTTATCTTACCTATAGCTGCAGATTTGTAGCTCGCTGGTCTGAAAAAAAATTGTGAAAGACGGTCGTCCATCCCATTTTTTTTTCCAGACAAGTGAGCAGAGATACAGCTATATCTTACCCAACGGTCATATTTAAAGCACTCGGTGGTAATTTATAAAATATAAAATGATGAAATTAAAATTTTTGATGTGTATTAATGTAAAACTGCATTGTCTTTTGAGTGAAATTTCTTATTTGTATATACATATATCTACGGAAGCCTGGAGTACGGAAGCCTGGAGGGACATTGACTTACTTGTTATGACTTATTTGTTATAACTTATTTGTTATGAATTTTTTGTCGCTAGTTATAACGAATTGTAACGTAGCTATGGAGAACGTGTATAGTTTGGCTTACGTGTATCATTGGCTTACGTGTATCATTAAACTGATATGTTTAGTCCTAGTTTAACTGTGGTATTTGATTAATTAATTGTAGTTTAACGTCCAGTACAGTTGTGACTAATAAATTTTTATCTGTTAATATCTTGTAACTTTGTCGTTATAACTTAATTTTTATTTGTGAATTCTTATTTCTTATTTCTTGTTACTAAATAGTTATTTCTTAATTCTTATTTGTAACTTCCAGATTTCATTAAGATTGAACATATGAACATAACCACTATTTTACCTTGTCTTAGTAATAAATTCAAATGCAAAATATTACTTTCACGTAACCTCCACCTTTCAAGCCACGGTTTTGGGTTAAGTAAACGTGTGATAACAATTTTAAAATAAATTAACAATTAAGTTGTAAGAATAAGTCAAAACACCTAAGAAGTAAGTCAGTGTCCCTCCATGCCTTCCGTACATATCCATATTAAAAATTAGAAAATCCAGGACGGTTATTTCTATATCGTAGTATACATCGTGTGGAATTGAGAGACGTTTTTTTTTTCTGTCGGCAAGCAATGTTTAATAAGGGCAAGCAATCCATACAAGGTTAAATCATTGTAGAGGAAGTAGTAAACACTTTTTCACTCTGAAAGCGGAAATGACTGCAATTCTCTTGAGAGGAAGAGGCATGTATTTTGGAGTTAGATACCTTTTGATATTATTATACTATTGTGTTAAAATTTTATTACCAAAAAAAGTACACTGATTTATTACATTTTCAACGGTGAAATACCGCAATTTATTTACTGAATAAAAGTTATATTCTGACACAGTGTGAAAGAATATCAAAATGGTATTCTCACCGTGTGAGAATATCAGAAGTTCGGCAAAACTTATTATTTTCCTTCCCCTCACGAAAGGTGTTTTTTTAAAAATCCCTGGCCTGTTATAATAAAGAGTTAGTGAGTCATCCTGACAGAGACTAATAGTTATATTGCCAAAGTTTGTCCAAATATGTCGTTAAAAATCCACGCATGTGAGTTAAGGCTAGGTATAGGCGTTTCTATGCAAATGAGCTAATAAAAACGCATAAGAGGTATTATTAGTTACATAGTTTTGTAGTGACAGGGTACGGGATGATACCTGGTTAGTAAATTCCATACCTGGCGAGGCGAAGCCGAGCCAGGTATGGAATTTACTAACCAGGTATCATTCCGTACCCTGTCACTACAAAACTATGTAACGAATTTACCCCACCGATAAAATATTTATTCATTGTCTGTGGTTTGTAAAATTGTTTTTCTCATTAGGCCTATATAATTATATTACTCATACAATGCCTATTATGACGTCACGTTGTGTGACGTAATGTTGTTTTGCGAGTGTTTCGTGCTGTAATAACGTACTGACAGTTTTGAAGACTTTCAATAAAGGGAGGAAAAGGTTCAATCTTCGTTACTTAACTGTTAAATTGTCAACAGACACTCGGCAAATCGAGTGAACTCGACTTGTTCGAACGTTACAAAAGAACGAAAACTCCGTATCGACCATGTAT